TCATCTATGAAAATGACTGTGTCATTGCCAATGCATTTCGTTGGCTGGAAGGGAAAAGTGTACCCTACACGAAAACAGATAAGGACGCTAGACCCCTAGGTCTTCTATAGCATAGAAGACCCCTCGGACTTCTATAGCATAGAAGACCCCCTCGGTCTTCTATAGCATAGAAGACCCCCTCGGTCCTCTATAGCATAGAAGACCCCCTCGGTCTTCTATAGCATAGAAGACCCCCTCGGTCTTCTATAGCATAGAAGACCCCCTCGGTCTTCTATAGCATAGAAGACCTTTTCGGTTTTCTATGGCATAGAAGACCCCTTCGGTCTTCTATAGAATAGCAGACCCCTTCGGCTTTTTATGGCATAGAAGACCCCTTCGGTCTTCTATAGAATAGAAGACCCCCTCGGTCTTCTATAGAATAGAAGACCCCCTCGGTCTTCTATAGAATAGAAGACCCCCTCGGTCTTCTATAGAATAGAAGACCCCCTCGGTCTTCTATAGAATAGAAGACCCCCTCGGTCTTCTATAGAATAGAAGACCCCCTCGGTCTTCTATAGAATAGAAGACCCCCTCGGTCTTCTATAGAATAGAAGACCCCCTCGGTCTTCTATAGAATAGAAGACCCCCTCGGTCTTCTATAGAATAGAAGACCCCTTCGGTCTTCTATAGAATAGAAGACCCCTTCGGTCTTCTATAGAATAGAAGACCCCTTCGGTCTTCTATAGAATAGAAGACCCCTTCGGTCTTCTATAGAATAGAAGACCCCTTCGGTCTTCAATAGAATAGAAGACCCCTTCGGTCTTCTATAGAATAGAAGACCCCTTCGGTCTTCTATAGAATAGAAGACCCCTTCGGTCTTCTATAGAATAGAAGACCCCCTCGGTCTTCTATAGAATAGAAGACCCCCTCGGTCTTCTATAGAATAGAAGACCCCCTCGGTCTTTTACAGCATAGACGACCCCGTCTTCTATAGTGTAGAAGTCTCTTCGGTCTTCTTCTTCTCCTCTGCTACAGAATAGCAGAACAGACCATTAGGTACTCTTCTCTGCTATTGCTATAGAACCCATTGGGTCTTCTCTGCTGCTATAGTATAGCAGAAGACCCATTGGGTCTTCTCTGCTGCTATAGTATAGCAGAAGACCCATTGGGTCTTCTCTGCTGCTATAGTATAGCAGAAGACCTATTGGGTCTTTTCTGCTGCTATAGTATAGCAGAAGACCCATTGGGTCTTCTCTGCTGGTATATTATAGCAAAAGATCCATTGAGTCTTCTCTGCTGCTATAGTATAGCAGAAGACCCATTGGGTCTTCTCTGCTGCTATAGTATAGCAGAAGACCCATTATGGGTCTTCTCCTCCTCTGCTATAGAATAGCAGAAGACCCATCATGGGTCTTCTCTGCTGCTATAGTATAGCAGAAGACCCATTATGGGTCTTCTCCTCCTCTGCTATAGAATAGCAGAAGACCCATCATGGGTCTTCTCGTCCTCTGCTATAGAATAGCAGAAGACCCATCATGGGTCTTCTCGTCCTCTGCTATAGAATAGCAGAAGACCCATCATGGGTCTTCTCGTCCTCTGCTATAGAATAGCAGAAGACCCATTGGGTCTTCTCTGCTGCTATAGTATAGCAGAAGACCCATTGGGTCTTCTCTGCTGCTATAGTATAGCAGAAGACCTATGGGTCTTCTTCTCTGCTGTAGAATTGCAGAAGACCCATCATGGGTCTTCTTCTCTGATGCTATAGAATAGCAGAGGAGACCCATTGGGTCTTCTCTGATGCTATAGAATAGCAGAGGAGACCCATTGGGTCTTCTCTGATGCTATTGTAGAAGACGCATTGGTCTTCTTCTCTACTGCTATAGAATAGCAGAAGACCCATCGGGTCTTATTCTCTGATATCTTCCATATATTTGAGGAAAACTTGTTGTCATTTTATAAAATTTTCGGGTGAAGGTGTTATAGAGGGTCTCATAGTCGTTTATGCCTTCTATGCCCTTTCTCTCTTATTTTTCCATTGCAATGTCATATTTTGCAATTTATCCGTTATGCTTTGTGTCCATTGTCTGCCGGAAAGTCATTGCATATGTTAACAGCCTGTTAGGACATCATATTTTATTGCATATGTTTAGGCTGTTGCACTCAATTAAATTCCAATTGCATTTAGTTGCAACATAACACTGCATCATTCACTTATCCGTTAATGGGCGAATGCATTCAGCAAACCTTTTACAGAGTGGTTTCGGGAATGAGGTTCATAAATGCAATTTGGTTGAAATGCAAATTGTTTTTATTGCGGTATTTTGTTGATAATTTCATCGGAAGGGTTAGAATGCTAAGCGAGGGATGGGGAAATGGGGTATGAAGTTTTGGAGGTTGCAAACAAATGGGATATTTAAAGTCGCAATTGGGCATGATTTGAAATTCAAGTGAAGAATCTGATAAAAATGCTCCCCAAGTTTACGATTCTACGTTGTAGAGTCGACAGTTAACCAAGATCTTGTTTCGTAGATGTTCTTATTATAATAAGTCTCTAAGAGAAGGAGAGGTGTTTCTAAAATAAATTAATAACAGGAAATGGTATCCGAAGCAATTTGAACTGAAACCCTAAAATAATCTACAATCCATCATCTAAACCCCATTTTTTGAATACAAAAAATTTCTAATACCATTCTGCAAAAAGGGAAGAAGGTTGGAGTATCCATCCCTCTTGTCTCTCGAAGCAATTTCAATTGTTTTTCAAGCATATCGTTCATAATTTCCCTTTTAATCGCTTCACTTTAAATTTGTTAACCTCAATTCATATTCATCGGCAACGCACACTCACACACACATAAATCCAAAAACAGAACAAAATTCTATTCCAGCATTTAGCTGTTAACTTAGTTTGCATATTTAAAAATGGTTTTTAAATTAAAAATGTTTAATAATTGTTTTCATTTAGGTGTGTCGTCAAACAAACGAAAAAGCGACCGAACAAACGACTGATGGACTAGACTTTGTCAGACAGCCCTGACAAACGAACGACGACTAGCAAATTACATAGAAATATTTATTCAAAGCAATTGAAATATTTTCCTTTGAAAATGTAATTTTTCAATGACTGTTTAAATGACTGGCTGACTGACTGACAGCCTGTCTGCGGGTTAATATTGTTGCGCTCATGAATTTTTGTGCAAAATATGCCTTTTGGGCTAATTTTAATCTAATAACCGAAAGACATCAAAACACTAAAATTACCAAGCCACACATAAACGTTTTGTGTACATTTGTTTTGCAAATGTATGATGGAAGGTAAAGGGTGTTGTTGAGGTGACATGATGAAATCTAAAATAAACCAGTAAAAAAGAGATAAGTTCAGCCGTGCGGAATTTTGAATACCCTTTACCATTAAGAACGAATTTGAAAAAAGAAGCTAGGTTCGGCCGGGCCGAACATTTAATATCCTCCACCATTTCAAAGGAAATTGAAAATTTTCATAAAAAAATCCAAAATCTACCACTGAAATGAAAACCGTTATATGGGGACTATACGAAGACGTTGACCTGTATACGAAATATTTTGTAATAGGCTGTAGTGCCCATTACGAACTTCAAATACGAAATTTGTTACAATTACGGTGAATAATGTCTCAAAAATCATGACAATGAGGAGTATCGGGAGGTACCGAAGACGTGGACTAGCACAGACAATTTTCTGTCTTAGGTTGTAGTACCCAATAGAATCTTCCAACAGGTAATAATGTTGCTGGAATCGAATAATGTTGCTGGAATCGTCAAAATACCTACTATCGGGAGGTACGTTATATGGGGGCTATACGAAGACTTGGACCTGCATAGAAAATTTTTGGCATAGTCTGTAGTAGCCATTACGAACTTTAAATACGAAATTTTAAAAATTCCGGCAAATAATGTCGCTAAAATCATGAAAATACCGAAAATCGGGAGGTACCGTTGTAGCTATAGTCATCAAAATACCGAATATAGGAAGGTACCGATATTAAGGGGTTATACGAAGACCTGATTAGACAATTTTCTGTCACAGGCTGCTTGATGAGAACTATCAAGCAATTTAAATACGAAATTTCAAACCATTCCCGAAAATGAAGTCGCTAAAATCATCAAAATACCGAAAACCGGGAAGTACCGATATTTAGGGGCTATACGAAGACCTGGACCTGCATAGACAATATTCTGTCATATACGGTAGTACCTATTAGGAAATTCACACACGAAATATGAAACAATTCCGGTAAATAATGTCGCTAAAATCATCAAAATACCGAATAACGGGAGGTACCGTTATATGAGGGCTATACCTAAACGTAGACCTATATAGCCAATTTTGAATACCAAAAGTCCTGCAGACCAAACACACATTTGAGTAAAATTTTACAACTTACTTCAATTCGTTCGGAAGCTAGAGTGATTTCCACAGACGGACGGTGATCGTTCAATCGACATAGAATTTTATGCTGATCAAGAATATATAAACTTTGTGGGTTCTAAAATATATATTTCGAGGTGTTATAAGCGGAATGACAAACTTAATATACCCTCCATATTATGGTATAGGGTATAAAAAGATAAAACATTATTCGGAAATTATAAAAAACAAGTACAAATGCAGAAAAAAAATAAGTCTTTAGAAATTTATCTCAAAATATTGAGTTTCCTTTGTACATAGGCAGGGCTATATAAAGGACCTACAAGAGTGTTGAACCGCGTTCAACAACGTAGTATTAAGTATAATGAACTCCAAGCAAATCGTTTAAATATCTTGAATTATAATTGCATTTAAAATAGCTTAAGTATAAATCACATTGAATTCAAATCTAAACGTGAGATAACCGTCAAAATATGGCAACCTTAAAACCCTTTAAGTTTTCACTCAATGGTTCAGGCTACCATTTCTTGTATTCAATACCTTTTGTTACATATTTATAAAATGTCTGATGCACAATCTGCACAGCCATTTTTTATTACTTGGATTAAAGCAGTCAAACCGTTCAGAACAAGAATAAAATTCTATTTGCTCCACCGCTTAAAAAAATCAATTGCCTTTTCTTTTCTAAATATCAATTACAATCACAAGAGTTACCACCGCAAATATTTACACCGCTACAGTCCATTCTCCACGGCCAACTCCCGCGAATGTACATGGTCCTCACGAGCCTCTAAGGAATTGGAAAGTTTTTTAAATTATCCGGATTACGTCCACCGCTTTACTCGAAGATTTCCTGGAGAAGAAGTTCATTAAGACATGGATAAAGGGTATGTAAATTGTTATTAATTTGTGAGCACATAGGGTTTTGTTTCTTGTTGATGTTTGAATTCACACAAAAAAGTGAGTTTGAACTATTGTTACAATTTATAACCACAAATGTCCAAGTCGCTGAAGTCAACTTTCTTTTTGTAAAGATACAAGTTGGCCCGCAAAAAAAATACATCCGCAAATACAATTGAAAGAGCAAACCAAATAATTTCAGTTTGCTTATCCGCTTAAATTACGCAACATATATTGCATCCACTTGTATATAACAAAATACTCTTCATAATTTTATTGCTGCCCAGTGGATCATTTCACAACAGGAGTTGTTCTTGTAGTCTTTTTTTCATTTATTCATCTACGGCTTTTCGCTATTACTGTCTCTTTATCGAGCTCTGAAAACAGACTCAATAGCAGCAGCATCTAATTCCTCTAATTTGCTTTAAAATATTCGCTTCGTCATTACATTACGGATAACAGCACCTTTGCACATAAAAAGAAAAAAGTGAAAGACAATAAACAACAGCCAACAACATATTGGGTTGTTGGAGGAATTGAAACGCATTAATCTTTAATTAGGCAACTGCTCTATCTGTAGGTAAAAAAAACTCATACTCTTAATCATCAAAAATAAAAATTGGTACGGCGACTGTTAGAAGTACCAAACGACATACTCTCTTCCTTTAAGAGCAGCAAACACAAACAGAGTCGCTGAGAACGTAACAGTGTTAAGTACGCCAGACTCATTTTTGGTTGCCATTAACATCAAACGGCGCAGTCGCTGTTAAAGGAGACCGCATACATACATTTCTCTTCTGTCGACTAAACACCATACCCAACAGCGCTGTCGCTAAGTAAGCCTCAGTCATTGCTCTCCATACATTCATCAGATTGGATATCACATTGTTGTTATTCCTTAGCAGAGGAATAAAACTAAACGCATTGATCTCATATCAGTGAGCGCACATGTTATCCCATCAGCTGCAGTAACCACATGCGTACTCATTTTTTACAACAACAATTTCATATTTGTAGTATCATTAAGCTCTTGTAAAGCCAGCAGAATTTCTTCTTGAACCACATGGTCAGTGTGGGTTGCAAAAGAGGTTGAACAATAATTAAAATATTATTTGACAAGTGATAGTCGTTTAGTGTCGGCAAGAAAGAATTTATTTTATTAAATTAGAATTAATAAAGAATGCTGGTACGTCAAACAAAATTTATAAAGCTAATATGGACATAAAGAAAAAACAAATATCATTTAGAACACGAATCAAGCATAAAATAAGCATAACAACAACTCAAAATTTACAACAACCAACCAGATTCCCTATTGCGAAAGAAACGGTGCAAAGTATAGCAAAAAGAAAAGAGGAAAGAGATGACAGTTGGTTAATTTGATGTTTACATTCTCATGCACTATTTATGAAGTATAACAGGTAAGGTAGGAGCATTTGAAGTTACCTTTCATTTACGTTTGACATTAACTTACAGTAACAACGACGTTACTACGTTTATTTATATGCAAACAAATATTATTACCAGTTGTCTGTTAGTAACAACGCTCTACCAACATTAAAGCTCTCTGACATACTTTGCCTTTACCTTTTGAAAACGAATAAAGATTTGGTGCATTATATCTCCACACTAGTTCTAAATATTGATCGATTTGTTACATAGCTGGGTTTGTTTACCTATATAAAAAACCTTAATTTGTAAATCAAGTAAAAACGTCATCTGTATTGCAATATATTGCAAAGCTTCAACAGACAGAATCTCATAAAGTCAACATATTTCTGACTTATAGCGTTGCTCAAGGAATCTAAACAGAAATATTATAACTTAACTTCTTAAAATAGAGGTCAAAAAAGTAAACAACAATCATAATAATTAGCACACTAGCATTGCAAGATACCAAAATATATCACTTAACCCTTCATTCTTGCCATTTTGAAAAATTTGTTTGGGTTAACGTCAATTGAATAAATATTGGAACAGTTTTGGAAAAGCTGTTTTTGATTTAGTTCGAGCGTTGTGCTAGAGTAAGTTCGATAAATCAAAGTTGTCTGCATACAAAAAAAAAAAAAAAAAAAAAAAAAAAAAAAACACATCGCTTCAAACAAGCTTTCAATCCCTTCATTAAATCATTAAACCAGGAGTTATGCAAGAAAAATTATCTAAAATACAATTTGGCTTAAACATTGTTGATTGATTTAAAACGCTTTCCATTTTCAAACAATTAAAAATTTAGGCGAGAATTTATGTGTCTAAACTTATATTGAAATCATACTCGTTCCGGTTTCAAACGAAGAGCGATCACGAAGGAAGAACATATCTAAAAGAAAAATTCTTCTTGTGTGGCTGTATTACTGTTGACCACAAGAGTTACTATTTTTCCAACGCATGCGCAGTTTGACCATTCTCTGAAATTGAACGATTGGGAAATAAAATTAGAAAGATATACGAATATAAACAAGGTAAACTGAAAAATAAGTTTATTTTCCATTCAGAATATTACCAATCATTTTAAATTATCGAGAATTTGTATCTCTATTTACAACTTGATACACAAATTCAGAGCAAAGTCTACATTTGTCCATAAGCAAACTTCTGGGTGCAACTAATATAGTTCGATGTTTCTCTGTAATTTTCTAGAGTTTTCTGAATCGGTGATTTTCTAATAGCAAGGTTGTTACAAGCGAACCATTATTCATTTTTCTCATTGCGTTAAACTTCGACAAAATTTTCACGATATTTGCTTAGACTGTAACTACGGCAAACATCAGTTGACGATTACGAGGTTTAAATCCCTCATTTATTTTCTCAAGCTTAACGTTGCAGATTGTTCAGTTTTAAATATTCAACAAAGAATATTTTTATATCGTTGAAAAATCTTCAATTTATTGAGTAAAATCCTTTTGAGAATTATAGTTGCCAGATTTTTTTGTTTCGAAAATCATTATGACCTCTCCCAATATGGGTAATGCGGGTGACCTCGCTCCTCAGAAATTTATATTTTTCTCAGACCAAGTGGTCACATTCTGTGCTGATTTTGCTCAAATACCCGTTCAGGACCACACTGCCTCTAGCCTTCAGGTTGAACTTGATGACTTAGAAAGACGGTGGCGTCAACTTGTTCAGATATATGAAAATGAAATGACTTCTTCCGATCCCACCGTAACTAAAGATGCTAGAGGGGAAATACATGGTAAATTTACCGAGTGCTGCCGATCTTACAAAGAATGTAAATCCTCAATTCTAGATTTAATTCAAATCGAGAACCAAAAATTCCTGAATTCCGAACCGATATCAAAAGAAGAAAATGTTTCCCACACTGATAGAGTTTTTTCATTGAAACTACCGCCTTGTGACACTGAATTCTTCAGTGGTGGCTACGATAAGTGGCCAAGTTTCAGGGATATGTTTTCCGCCGTTTATATAAACCATACCAAATTGTCACCTGCGCAAAAATTGTTTCACTTGCGGGCAAAAACAAAAGGGGAAGCAAGTATGATTGTAAAAAGATTTTCCTTAACGGATAACAATTTCGAACTGGCATGGAATGCTTTGCGTCAACGCTTTGAAAATAAGCGTATTCTGATCAATCATCAATTGCGAAAAATATTTCAAATTGAACATGTGTCGGTAGAGAAAGAGAAATCCCTAAGAAATCTTCAGTATACAATTAATAATTGTTTATCTGTGCTGCGTACTTATAATATATCCGTGATATCTTGGGATCCAATCTTAGTATATTGGGTCTCATCCAAATTACCTGAAGATACCTTAACCGCATGGGAAAGTTCTCTGTCAAACAATAAAGAAATGCCTTCATGGGACCAATTAGATGAGTTTATCACCAAACGTTTAAATATGATTGAATCGGTTTCTGATATACGAAAACCGCATTCATCCACGTCTCAGAAAGTTTCCGCATACAATACTTCTACGGAAGGTTCTCCGAAAGCATGTAAAGTATGCAAACAAAACCACCCTTTAAGAAATTGTTCAAAATTCCGATCATGACCTCTTTCAGACAAAAGGAAATTTGTGTTCGATAATAAAATTTGTGAAAATTGTCTTTCCTATGGTCATATTGCCAAAAAATGCAAAAGTGAACATCGCTGTCAATCATGTCGGCAATCTCACCACACCTTATTACACCCTGATGAAAGCAACAAGAAGATAATTGTTTCAAATGTCTCCAATCAAAATTGGCAAAAGCCAAAATCAGCCTCCGCTTACCTTGTTGAAACATTTGAAGATGAAAAACCGACCACTTCTGAAGCTGCCTCCTCCGCTTATAATGAAATGTCCTATGTTGAATCCCATTTCTCACAATCTGGAGAAAGAACCGTTTTGCCAACTGCATTAATTGATCTAGAACACCAAGGCTTTTTGTTTACAATTCGGGCATTTATTGATCAAGGGTCACAAGAAACATTCATTTCTAGTCGAATAATAAATCGGTTTGACATTCCGACTAAGAAATCATTCACAAAGATTTCAGGTCTTGGCGGAACTCTTCTTGAAAATTCGTCAAAAAGTTGTCAAGTAACTCTAAAGTCCAGAAAGTCAGACTTTAAGATAGCTACTTCCGCAATTGTTGTTTCGAATCTAAATCATTTAATGCCAGCCTCCCCTACCGTAATATCCGACTTCACAACTTTAAAGAGATTAGAGTTGGCTGATCCCAAATTTTTCAAACCAGCTCCCATCGACATGCTTATTGGTAGTGACATATTGCCGAGCATTATAAAACCAGGATTAAAGAAAAATATTTCTGGAAATCTGTTGGCACAATGTACCGAATTCGGATGGATAGTCAGTGGGAAACCAAATTGCCAGCTTATTGCTTCATTTGCCTCCTGGACGGCCACATATGATCCACTGAGTGAGGAGCTAAGAAAATTCTGGGAAATAGAAAATATTTCCAACGAAAAAACTTTGTCAGCATCTGATATCTGGTGCGAGGAATTTTATAAAAGAACTGTTCAACGAAGATCAGATGGTAGATATGTGGTAAGGTTACCATTCAAACAGGACTTACCATCGGACAAATATCTCGGTTCTTCTAGATCTGCCGCTATGGGTCAATACCTAAGGATAGAGAAGACGCTAGAAAAGAATCCAGATCTAGCAGGAGAATACAATAAAGTACTTTCTGAATATGTTACTTTGGGTCATATGGAGTTAACCACAAAATTTGAGATTTCTGAAAATCTCCATTTTCGTTCATACTACTTGCCACATCATGCTGTCGTAAAGCCCGATAGAACTTCAACGAAAGTAAGAGTCGTATTTAACGCATCTAAAAGAACAGACAACGGGGTTTCACTAAATGACATACTTTATACTGGTCCCACACTACAAAATGAACTCACTAACGTTGTTTTACGCTGGAGATTCTTCAAATATGTTTTCAATGGCGACATACAAAAAATGTACCGCCAAATATTTGTGCATGAGAAAGATCAACAATTTCAACGAATTCTGTTTCGGTCTTCTCCGTTAGAAAAAGTTGAAGACTACTGTTTAAAAACTGTTACTTTTGGGGTAAATTGTGCACCATACCTGGCGATACGAACTTTGCTCCAACTTAGCGATGACAATAAACACTCACATCCAACGGCATCGAACATTCTCAAGAGTCAGATTTACGTGGATGACATACTATCGGGAGCACATTCGTTAACTGAAGCAAAGTCCTATCTGCATGAGGTAATTGACTTGTTAAAATCCGCTGGATTTCCTTTGAAGAAAATTACGTCAAACCATCCTCAAATACTCCTGAATCTTCCCCCGGAGGATCTTCTTAGCGAAGATTTCTTACGATTAGAAGATGTCAGTGAAACAAAAACTTTGGGTATTCAATGGAATGCCAAATATGATTATTTCTTCTATAAGGTGACACATTTCGATTTACCCACTGTTGCCATAACAAAACGTAAAGTTTTGTCAATCGTTGCAAAATTGTTCGATCCTGCTGGTTGGTTAACACCCATAATTGTAGTCGCGAAAGTTTTAATGCAACAACTTTGGATTGATGGGACTAATTGGGATGAAGAAGTAACAACACATTCCTTCGAAAAGTGGAATGCCTTTATTTCCAAATTTGCGGACATCGAGAATATTAAAATTCCTCGTTGGGTACATTTTTCATCCGAGACTGAAATTCAAATTCACGGTTTTTGTGATGCCTCAGAGAAGGCATATTGTGCATGTTTGTATATACGTGTTAAATCCTCAAAAAATATTACTTATACCAATCTTCTTGTTTCCAAGAGCAAAGTAGCTCCATTAAAAACTGTGAGCCTACCGAGGTTAGAATTATGTGGAGCAGCGATGTTATCCAAACTTTTAAAATCTGTTTGTCAAAATTTGGAGCTTTCCTCTCCCGAAATATTCTTGTGGACTGACTCAACAATCACCCTATCGTGGATTAGCAAACCGCCTTTTTACTGGAAGACCTTTGTGGCCAATAAAGTGTCTGAAATTCTCGATAATGTGGGAAATGCAAACTGGAGACATGTTGCATCCGCTGATAATCCTGCGGATCTTGGCACTCGAGGCTGTACAGCTGAAGAACTTCAAGCATGTAGTCTTTGGTGGAATGGACCACATTGGTTAGCAAAGGAACCACAACACTGGCCAAAACCCGCCTCTCTCAAAGAACCAGAACTTGAAAAGAAGGTATTTGCCATGCACGCCCAAGTTGTTGAAGATGATCTCCTAGAAGATTTCTCATCACTCAACCGAGTCCTACGAGTCTTTGCTTATGCATTTCGCTTCATAAATGGGTGTCGCCGAAATAACCCATCTGGATTGCGAAAAAACATTTTACTTGCACATGAAATATCCTTCGTCAAATACTACCTCATACGATTGGCACAAAGGATACATTACCCATGGGAATATCAGGCACTCGTCTCAAACCAACCAATACCAACTAAGAGCAGACTATTAACCTTGAATCCTACTCTAGATGAAAATATGTTACTGAGAGTAAATGGTCGCTTGGCCAATTCTGATGCACGGTACAATGAACGACATCCGATTATCCTCCCGGAAAAGTCAAGATTTTGCAAGTTGCTGATTGAATTCACACACACTTTGCTACTTCATGCTGAACATCAGCTAATGATACGGGCAATTCGACAAGAGTTTTATATAATCCGATTGAAAAGTGCCGTTCGTTCATGCATTCATAATTGTCGAACATGTACCATCTACAAACATCACATTCAAAACCAAATTATGGCCGCCTTACCCCTTGAGCGTTGTACCTTTTCCCTCCCCTTTACCAATACAGGTCTTGATTTTGCCGGTCCTTTCGACCTCAAAACCTCACGCCTTCGAAATGCAAGACTGCACAAAGGCTATGCCGCAATTTTTGTCTGCCTGTCGACACGAGCAATTCATTTAGAAGTCTGCTCCGATTTGTCTGCTGAAGCCTTTTTGGCAACATTCAGTCGATTTGTTGGCCGACGAGGCCTTCCTAAACAAATATTTTCAGACAATGGAACCAACTTTGTTGGTGCCAGTCGTTCGTTAGCTAAAGACTATAAGACTTTTCTACGCTCCGCTGAAGAACATTTAGTCTCAAAATACAACATCCATGGTTTCACTTGGCACTTTATACCGCCTCACGCCCCACATATGGGTGGCTTATGGGAAGCTGCCGTTAAAAGTATGAAAGCCCATTTAAAGAAGGTAGCGGGAAAACTGAAATATACATATGAAGAGTTTTCCACATTACTAATCAGAATTGAGAGTATTCTAAATTCTCGACCATTGTCACCGTTGAATGAAGAGCCTAGCGAGTTAGTACCGCTGACTCCTGGCCACCTACTTAGAGGAGCTCCTCTTATTGCGACTCCTGAACCATCCTCTGATAATTTATCTCTGATGAATCGATGGCAACGATTAAAAACTCTCCAATCACACTTTGCCAAACGCTGGAAGAACGAGTATATAACAAATCTTCAACGTAGATACAAATGGAAACGAACGCAACGAGATCTTGCCCCAGATAATTTCGTCGTCATCAAAGAAGATAATCTTCCCCCGACGGAATGGCGACTTGGACGCGTGGTTAGAGTGTTTGCCGGAAAAGATTCAAGGGTTCGTGTAGCAGAAATTCGCACGCAAAACGGGATCATAGTACGCCCACTTGTAAAATTATGCATTCTCCCCAATTGTTAACTTTTCCCCCTTGCTCACAAATTTAATAACCTTTTACATTTCAGTAACGTTTCTAGCTTGCCCAAATGCCGTATCTGCCACGAGAGGCACTTTATAAAATCATGCCTTACTTTCCAAAATATGAGCGTTACAAAACGTCGACATGAGGCACGTCAAAAAGGTTTTTGCTTCAATTGTCTGTGTACGGCTCATACCCGCGAATGGTGCCCAAGCCGTAAAACTTGCATGGTATGTCATAAGGGTCATCATACCTTGCTACACATCGATGCTAAACCCAACAATCATTCCTCCTCCAAATCGACCCCAAAAAACCGCTCATCATCACGAAGTTGCAGCCTTGAACCTCCAACCGCCAAAAACCAACAAAGTCGTCCAGCGAAACAACAAAACCGTCCATCAGCCCACACATCAAAACGATCTACTTCAACATCAACGCAACGCCGTCACTCCAACGTTAGTGACAGACTAAGTTCTCGAACCAAATCGCATGTGTTTTTACCCACAGTTCTTGCAAAGGTGATTACTGTAGAAGGTTGCGACAAAGTCCGATTGCTGATGAACTCAGGATCAACGCAAACTGCAATTTCAACCAAATTGGTGGAGCGACTTCAGTTACCACTTACACAGAGGGCTGGAAAGACTTTTACTGCCATAAACTTGCAATCTTTCCATGACGAGTCCGTTAAAATACACATCACTGGCGAAGTCCAAAATCCATTGCACATTAGCACCCCGGAATCGACGAAAGATAAAAAGCACCTATCAATATACAACCACCTAACGGATCTGGCAGATCCACATTTCTTTAACCCTATCAATATAGAAATCATGATAGCAAACGATCAAATTCCAAAAATTCTAAGAGCCGGCCTAATTCAAACCACAACCAACATGCCAATTGCCCAAAGTTCAGCCTTCGGTTGGATCATATCCGGAAGCTGCCAAGTTTGAAGTTGCAGTCCAGCAAAAGGGGGCGGTATGTTGAACCGCGTTCAACAACGTAGTATTAAGTATAATGAACTCCAAGCAAATCGTTTAAATATCTTGAATTATAATTGCATTTAAAATAGCTTAAGTATAAATCACATTGAATTCAAATCTAAACGTGAGATAACCGTCAAAATATGGCAACCTTAAAACCCTTTAAGTTTTCACTCAATGGTTCAGGCTACCATTTCTTGTATTCAATACCTTTTGTTACATATTTATAAAATGTCTGATGCACAATCTGCACAGCCATTTTTTATTACTTGGATTAAAGCAGTCAAACCGTTCAGAACAAGAATAAAATTCTATTTGCTCCACCGCTTAAAAAAATCAATTGCCTTTTCTTTTCTAAATATCAATTACAATCACAAGAGTTACCACCGCAAATATTTACACCGCTACAGTCCATTCTCCACGGCCAACTCCCGCGAATGTACAAAGAGTTTAAGCTCTTAATGTACAAATTGAAAATTAAAAAAGTAAGGAAAGGTCAAAAGTAGTGCGAGGCTGACTGTAATTTACCCTACACCACTATGCATATTTAGTAGAACACCTGTAACAAAAAAACTTTATTTTGGTAATTTAAGTGAGGTAGATCATACCAACTATGATCCAAATAACATTGCTTTACAGCGCATGATATGACTTCGATAAGGATTATATTAAAAACTATATATTGGAGCAATATATACCGGACCGAGTTTCGCCGAATGGTACAATTCGCTTGAATATGAGAAGTCTAATAAATTTGGGCGGATATTACATATAGGGTGAGCAATAACTGTAAAATTGGATAAAGATGTATATTGAAGCTATATAAAAATCTGAACCGATCTCGATAAAATTTGGCAGATGTATTTTCGACCACTATTTGATGCCTGGTATCAAACATTATTATTGTGGACTGCATATTACGCATGTGAGGTGGTTGGTGTTAAAGTCACCAAATCGGATGAAACATATATATATAAATAGAAGCTACATCTGAACCATTTATAACCCAAAATTAAAGCACTTGCTTTTAGGCCGAAATCCGTTGGAAGAAGCAAAATTCTGTCCATTTGAGCTGATATTAGCAATTATTTGCACAATAAACCTGAAATCGGATTATGGATATATATGGGAGCTATATCCAAATCCGATAAAATTTGGCAAAGGTATTTCCGAGCTCTTTAAGTTATCTGCTACTAAATATCATTGTTGTCGAATACATATTACGAATATGAGGGTTTTATACACCAAATCGGATGAAACCTATATATGTGAGCTATAGCTATATCTGAACCAAATTTCACTTTACTTCTTCTAGACTGAATTCGGTCGCATGTGCCATGGTCATTTGGAATGACCACAATTTACCAGAATTCGGATGAAGATATATATGAAGCTATGTCCTAATCAGAATCGATCTTTATACAACTTAGCAGAGGTATTTCTGGGCTGTATCTGATATCTGAAAACAAACATCATTCTTATGTGGTGCATATTACGAATTCGAGGGACTTAAACAGCAAATCGGATGAAACATATATATTGGAGCTATATCTGAAACTATTTTCACCAAATTTGACGTACTTGCTTCTAGGCTGAATTCGGTTGGATGATACAAAATTCAGGACTGATATTGGCCATTCGGTCACAATTAACACGAAATCGGTTGGAGATATGTGGGAGCTATATCTAAATCTGATCCGATTATCACCAATTTGAATAGAGTTCGTCCTTGGTTCACAAGAATACATAGACGGACGGACAGACTGACATGCATAAATCGGCTCAGAAAGTGATTCTATGAAGATCTTCAAAAGTAACTATGAGTCTATCTCGCTGCCTTCTTCATATTAGAAACAAATGCAAAAATGTGAAGAAATAATTCTCAATCATTCCATAACACCGAACATATTTCATCACTGAGGTTATAGTGAACTATCTTCGAGGCTGTCGAACAGTACTAGTGAAGTAGGTGTGTGGCAGGTTGCAGTCATTGCGCTTTGATCTCCTGATTTTCACAAATAAATTATTTGGAGAAATGTTCATCTTAATCGGGCAGTAATTGCGACCCGTACTTTGTTTACAAAAAAAATTACAAAAAAAAAACAAGGACAGAATCCAAAAGGAACAGATCATCCAAAGGAACTAGGGGTCTATCTCGCTGCCTTCTCTATGTTACAAACAAATGCACAAAGACACTAGGTCCAAAAATTGTCTCGACATTGTTATGATGATCACACAATCCAATATAAATGCAGGGTGCTCTTGTAAGGGAATATAAAGGAGAGAGTAGAAAGTGATAGGATGAGATGCTCATGTTTGCCACCAACGCTGAATATTGCGATGCACCAAGTTTGCAAAAAATCGCTGACTTCTTTCGCATGCTATAAGGCTCATAATTATTGTTGTTGCAAAATACTCTGGCTAAATCCCAATGTTTTTCAAAATGTTGATCCTTTGAGAGGGATGTACCAGAAAGAGTGGTCCGATAATGTTCATATTCACGACAGATCTCTGGGTAAGATAACTATTTACATTAACCACGTTTTTAAAAACTTTCTAATTTGTTTCCCATGTTATGAGATATATAAATATTCAAAATTTTGTCACATAGTTGGGGAAGGTTCCGTAAGGAGTGAACCTATATAATCCATCTTAACACCAGATCCTATGTTAGTCGAAAAATTGGGATGTGAAATTTTAAGAGAATTGGAGAGAATTCGAATTTTATTATCGTTTTGATTATTTAAAATTTTTACCCTCTGTGAGGAAGGTACCAGATGCAGTGAGCGGATTCTACCATCTTCGCAACAGATCTTATGTTCATAGAAGTAGTCACATGTACCGAGTTTAAAAGGTTCCAGAATGAGTGGGAGCCAGAATGAGTGGGCGATATCTACCATATTCACCTCAGATCATGTGTTAATAAAAATATTTAAATGTGCGGAATTTCAATATAATCGGACTCTTGTTTTACATTTTATAAGAAGCCGATATATGCCACCTTCACAATTTAGATTTAATCAGATGTACCAAGATTGAAAGGAATCGGTTGGTAATTTCTGGTTTTTACGAGCTTCATGCCTATTCAAAATTTTTAAGTTTTGTGGGAAGGCATCGGAAGGTATGGACCGATATATTCCATTGGGAAAAATATTGAAATGTGTGAAATTTTTACATATTATAAGAGTTATAATTATTCCAAGTTTGGAACCTTTGTAGGGGAGGTACTTGATGAAGTGGACCGAAGTTATCCATTTCTGCACCTGACCTTGCACTAACCAAAATATTAATATTTCTAAAGGTTGCACAAAATCTTGTTCTATATGGAAAATTATTTTTGACATTTTGTGGGGAAGGAGCGGACCGGCATTGTCCATTTCCGAACTCGATCTAAGTATGATAATAATATTATGATGTACCAAGTTAGGCCTAAATTGAATACTCCCTTCGAGAGTTATCGTGCGCTCCAGGCAGACAGACGGATGGACGGACGTACGGACATTCGATAAAGGCTCCAAATGTCCTCAAACGGATTTGGTCCAAAGAAACCTAGGGTCTAGAACCATTATTTCGATTAGGCACGATTTGGCCGTAACAAACGATGATGATGATGTACCAAGTTTAGATCAAATTGGATACTCCCTTCGAGAGTTATCGTACGAACGAGGCAGGCAGGCGGACGGACGGGCGTAAGGATACCCCGATATCGGCTCCATATGTCCTCGAACGGATTTGGTCCAAGGAGACCTAAGGTCTAGAACCATTATATCGATGAGGCACGATTTGACGTAACAAACGAACCTCGTAGCCGTAAGGCTGAGGCTGTGAGGCTTAAATCGTCAAAATACCGAACAACCGGAGGAATCGTTATATGGAGGTTATAGGAGAACGTAGACAAATATAGATAATGTTTAGTCGCAGGAAATAGATGCTATTAATAACTGAATTTTGGGAGGCACCGTTATATGGGAATAATACGAAAACCTGGACCCATCATCCTAGACCCAAACTATTATGCCAAATTTCATAGCTCAACGTCAAATATGGGCTGTATCTCGATTTCAACAGAGAGAGCGAGAGAGAAAGAGTGGGAGAGTTAGAGAGGAAGACGCTAATCACGAATGTTTCTACTTTATAGGGTCTACGACAATTATTTGGATGTGTTACAAACGGAATGATAAATTTAATATACCCTCCTCTTCATGATGGAGAATAAAATAATAATAGGGTTTAGATTTTCTATATATATCAAATATATATATGTAGAAGAAGAAAAAGGAACTCAAAGGCTCTCATTTCAACATATATGCTTTATTTGCATCTAATCACTCCAAAAATCCACCTTTTCAGCAATCGCAATTTCTGCTCAGATATAAAATGCGACATTTACATTACGAGTTCTTTGCAAGTTGTCGTTTTGTTTTGTTTTCAATTTCAAAAATTTAAGGGTGTTGCAAATGACACTTGACGATACAAAACGTTTTTCAAAAGTAAATATAATTCGTCATCAAGGCGTCACATAATGCCCCGGGGCCCGAATACAAAAACTTTGGACAAACAACGACAACAACAACGCCAGTAAGTACAACAATATCAACACGCATTAGATGTAGTGTTTGTCAAAAGGACCTTCAAGGGTAATGACAATGGCAGTGCGGTGGTGGTGGTGGTTGGGGTGTTGGCACTCAAATGACGAATATGAATGATGACAGCCGAACAAATAACTGAAAGGCAAGTACGAGCATTTTTCTGTTATTTGATATCTCGTTCTAAGGATTGTTGGGAACCATGTTGAAAAAGCATGAGCAAATGCTCAAAAGTGCATAAAATTGAAATGAAACTTTGAAGTGCTGCCTGGGAATTGGGAAAAATAAAAATGTTAATATTTGGAAAAAATAGAGATTAAATTAAATTTTATTCCCGGGATTTTTGGGAAGGCTGGGAGAGGGGTATATCAATTTTTTTGTTAA